GTATTGTTCAGGAATTTAGCTATTATATTTTAGAAGTGATGGATTACAGTATATACATATAAATTTTCGTCCACTTTTAGGTCACCCGAGTCTCTCAAATGACCTATCCGTTTTTGTTGTTGGGCGCGCGTCGTCCGTCAACATTAAACATTTTTAGCTTCTCAGGAACCGGTGAACAAAGAACAATGCACGCTAACTCTCGATTCCCGCCTACATTTTACACCCACTTCATTCAATACGTATAAATGGCAATTTGGCCAATAAAATGTTCATTATCAATTGATTAATAATTTTTTACCAGTGTCAAAAACTTAAATGCCCCCTTTTAGGACTCTTTTTCATAAGGGGGGTTAAACATTTTATTCATTGAAATCAGGCTTTAAAACATCGCCAGATTTTCAGATTCTAATGGAAGTGGATAAATGACCTTACAATTTTTCCGTATATTTAATTTAAGTAAGATTGATGATTTTATTTGTAATCTGATTTGAGAATGGTAATAAATTGACCATTATTGGAGGGGTTTTTTTAATCTATTAACATATCCCCCCCTACCTGCGAAACAAAAAAAGCTTTGGTATGAATTTGAGAAATAACAATTCACAAAACCTATAAAAAGGAATTTTTGTTTCACCGGGGGGGGGGGGGGGGGGGGAGATGTTAAAATAATGTTTTCCGTTGAATTCAATAGTGAAAAACGCAATTTTTACCAAAATTATAGAGTTATATCTCTTATCTCTCATGGTCAGGGGTTCAGGTGTTAGGGTGGGGCTAGCGCTCTTATATATGTTGCCCGCGTGGCGCACTGGTTAGAGCGTCTGCTCTAGAGTCGCGAAGTAAGGAGTTGATCCTTACGTCGGGGTTCGTATCCCACTGTGGGATGTGGAGACCGGTCCTTCGGATGACCGAGGTCCCGTGTCGCAGTAGGTGCTAGCACGTAAAAGATCCCTCACTGCTCAATGGCCGTAAGTGCCGAGTATAGGACAAAATTTGCAGCTCTCCACCAGCAAGTGGTGGCGTCTTTATATGAGTGAAAAATTCTCGAGAGGGACGTTAAACAACATACAAACAAACAAAAACTATTTATTATATAGTGAAAATGCATTATTTCTTTATAAATCTTCTCTGCTCCTGGCTGCTTCTTCCATTGATGATAAAGTAAAATGCATTATTTCTGTAGTCTTTGGAGTCCAGGTCTTCCAACAAACTATTGGAATTCTGCGATGGGTACTGATTGTACTCCTTTATTAGCCGACCATTTTTTTTATCCTATGCAGCGAAAAATATTCAAAAACTTCTACATGAGAAGAAACCACTTGTATTAACATTGGGTCGTATTTTGGCTGACTTGTTTCATACCAATTGTTAGGCCTTTGTTTTTTCCACTGAATTTGACTACGGAATGTTCAGTCTACCTGATCAATTCATAGGGCTCATGCTGGGTGTGACCGGTCAACAGGGGATACTTACTCCTCCTAAGAACCTGATCCCGCCTCGGGAATTTCCAGGGGTTTGGTTTGTGTTTTATGCCCTCTTCAAACAACTATATTGTTTATAGATTTTTTGAGATCGATCACTTCGTAATCCTCACCTTTTTCATTGAAAACCTTTTTAAGCAATCAAACTAAGTGCATGATTCTTTAAAAATCTTTTTATCTGTCCTTGGGCATTTAACAATCATACACAGTGCATGGTTATGATCTTGAAATCCATGGCCCAAGGGTCAGGAATTCTGGTGTTAGGGTTGATTGTATAGTAAAAATTAATATTTTTTTTTTAAGCAAATCTTCCTCTCTGTCTCGTTTTTTTAGACAAACTAATTGCATATTAATGAATTGCAAGGACGCCTCCTCCAAAAATATGAAAGTCATGGCCTCTGGGTTAGAGGTTCTGGAGGTGGGTGGGGCTTTATTGATTACAATGTATATAGTGAAAATGCATTACTGTCATAGCACTGTCAAATACAAACAAAAATAGATCTGCTAAATGATTTGTTACTAAGTATTTTAACTATTTTACTGAGTCCTGATCATCATATTTCTTTAGATTTTAGACACAATATTTTCTTACACTGTATGAAATAAAGAAAACACAAAAACTGAAATTTAAGTACTATAAAAATACAACGGGATCGGTATTCCAAAATGGATGGTGTAGACTGACAATTGCGGATATGACAGACTGAAGCCTCTTTTGAAGGATTGTTGAAATCACGTACTTAAATAATTTATAAATAATTATTTATTATAAATTTATTCAAATTTCATTAATATCCATTTTAGCTTTCAGGAGTTAAGGATTTGCATTTCTATTTGATTGTTAGATTCTATCGCAGTCTTACTATCACTGGATTGTTTTTTGTTTGTTTGTTTGTTTGTTTTTTTTTTTTTTTTGCATGAACTATATGCCATGCCATAGCAAATAAATAGCTGCTAGCTTTTAGACTTAGTTACATCTTTAATGAAGCTAAAAGCAGGCGACACATGCGTTCCTGGGAACACTCTAGTTCTGTAAGAAATCGGCAAAGATAATTAAGCAGAGATTTTTGATGAATAAAATGGTTTTTTTTAACCTTTCTATAACGTTGACTGTATGTACATGTATGGTCTGCGTTATAAAACATGATGTGATAGGGTAACGTAATGCGCCTTGTACACGTACTCAAAGACTCCGACGTTTTTCAATATCTAAATTGGACATAAAATATATTTACAATAAAATTAATAGCCAGCGAGTTAAACATAATAAATTACAACTATATGGAAATGAAATGAAAAAAAAAACGTGTAAACTTGTCAAGTCGGAAACACTCAGAAGGGTATTGTTGGTATCATACAGACTGTGTCAGGGCCTTGACTCAAGTTCAAAGTCACTAAGAACAAGATGCTTTTACTGGATGTGTGGTCTGAAAGAACATGTGTTAACTTGTCACACAGATAGGTTTGCGTCATAACCAGAGTGTTTCATGGCTTGACGCAAGGTCATCTGGACAAGTTCAAGGTCACGAAATAGAAAGTGTACTTTATTTTATTGTCTTTCTACTGGCGAAGCATTGCAAGTTGATAGTCCCTTACAAGATTATTTATCATATTAGAATATGGCATGACCTTGACTCAAGGTCACTGCTCCAACGGAAGACCTATTCGTTGCTCTTCTCCTTTCTAGATGCCAACTTTCAGACCTCATATCTCGCTCATTTCTCAACAGATTTTGCTCAAATTTTCAGAATTTATAGACGTTAACAAACTCTATCAGAATGTTGTCATACATTTAAAAAGTCCCCTTCCACTTTGGAATTATTTCCCTTTAAATGAAAATATAGGGGGGTTCGTTTCCAGACAAAGGCTTTGAGACTAAAAAAGCTGGAGCAGAAATACTACTGAATTTTAATAATAGAAGCATTGAAGTTGTGCACATCTATTTTTGTTTTTTGATTTCTGCATTCAATATGGCGCTAGATAGGGGTAAAAAATTAGAATGTCTAAAAGTGCGAAAATTTACACATATTTTGCTATATATCTTTTAAACTATAAAAATTTTGTTAAGACATGTAGAATAAAAATTGTGCACAATTTTAAGGTCTTTCATTTTGCACCACCAAAAAGGGGCTGGTCCCTTAAATTAGGAATCTAGGGTCCTTGAAAGTTTTCGTTTTATAACTCAAAAATGGTAAATATTTCGAATATAGCTGTCACTAAAAAGTTGTTCTTTAACATATAATTGATCTCATGTACTTGTTATTTTGTTCGAGTCCTTTTTAATAAATGAGCTAGAAGCTTGACCCATATACAGATAACTAGTTTCATTAGACAAGTGAAGGTGAAATCTTTATGCGCATAACCGAAATAAACTTGCTACAAATGATAAACCTATCCAAAATAAATACTAAATAATTACACTGCGACATTTAAGTCCGGACACGACATAGTCCGGACTTTTAGGTACCCTTTCGAAAAGACATAATTAAAAAATTTTCCTGGATTTTGGTGGGATTTTTTATTCTCATCTCATCTTGTCAATCTTAACTTCTACAATGTTGTAGTTTTCTTATAAACTTCTCCCAAAACTTAAAATCCCATGGGAGAATGGGGGGATTTTTCATCCCACCTGAAATCCCACCAAAATCCCATGGGAGAAAAAAATCTGTGAGGGATATTTCCTCCCATGGGATTTTTTATCCCGTCATGGGATTTTTTATCCCATCATTGGAGAAATAGGATTAAAAATCCCATTATTAGCTATTCATAGGATTTAAAGTCCTATGACGTATCATTTTGGGAATTTTTATCCCATAGGATATAAAATACATGTACCTTGCTATATTGATGTGTGTAATGAAGGGAATGCTTTGTTTGATCACAGTTTATACTGGCATCCATAAGAAAACAATAGGAGGAAACACACAAAACATAGGTAATCAGAGATAACAGGGCCCACCTCAACAAATGTTGTCTTTAAGAAAGGCAAATTTCAACACTAAAACACTAAACTAATAATCTAGTGGTGAGCATTCCTAGATGCAACAATTATGTAATTTTTTTCTGAAGGAGTTTGTGGATAGTTGGGAATGAACTTATCTAAAATCTCTAATCTAGTCAATCATCCAGAAAATGTAAGTCAAATCCAGCATTTCAATCAAATTTTAGAATTTTTATACCTTGATGCATCATCCTTGTAAGTTTAGTTAGATATAGGTATTATAGTTTCTTGGTAATGGACCTGCTCCAAAAACTTTGACCTGTTCACTCATCTGAAATATGTAGGTCAAATCCTGTATCAAAAGCAACTCTGGTAGTGTTCATCAATAAATGACTCTTCAATTCAAAGTTGGTTAAGGTATGGCTTTTAGACACTTTAGAAAGAAACTGCTCCTAAAAACTTTTTATCATGTTCACTCATTTGAAAAATATAGGTCAAATTCAGCATCTGAAGCAAGTCCAGTAGTGTGCATCCTTGATATTTCATCCATACACGTTTGGTCAGAATAGGGTTTATAGTAA